AAACCTTTAAAATTCACTCTTAGATCGATCGCCTGCCTCGAATGAAACATTCAAACTCTCAACCCTCCGATCATCCCAAGTAGGGGTTTTTTAAAGATTTGGGAGAAATTTTGGGGACTATTGGAACGTGGTGAATCAGCATGAGATTTTTATGTTTTCAGGGTTCGCCGGTTAAAAGGAAGCTTTCGGTTGATTTTTCGTCAGAATCTGAAATTTCTCTGGCGACATGACTTCCAATCTCTCGATAAACCTCAATTGGAGCAGATCCATGGCGAAATCTGTAACAATTTCCAAGCCCTCGCGTATGCTTTATCTTAACTGTTTACCCCTTTTTCTATTTCTTTATGTGTTCCGGCCTCCTCCAAACCTTGGTCTAACTCCCCAGATTTCCCAGTTCCCTCCTTTAACTCCATCTTCTTCCCCGTCTGCCATCAAAGCCGCTACAGTTACTAAAATATCAGTGCCCTCTCCGGCACCTGTCTCTTTCACTAAGCCAGTGGCTCTCCAGAGAAAAGTGTCCCAATGGATTGCATTTCCTCTTACTTCTCAGCAGATACTACAGTTCTTAACAACACACCAAATCAGAGTGTTAAGGCTGTGAATGAAACCTCTCCCAAATCTGCGGCCTCTAACAAGGCTGAGCCACACCCTATGAAACCTTCACTAGACGGCCCCCAAAACCTCTTCTCTTCCTTCAGGGCTTACCCCCTGCAATGGAACTCCTAGTATCACCAGCAATGCAGTAATTGCAGGCCTAAACCAGAACATTCCTCCACCTCCTCAAAACTGATCCTCCCTTGCCTCCACAAGTTTCAAACTCAGCTCCTGATTCCAACAACACTTATGCTGCTCGCCTCAAAACCTCTACGGATAGAACCCTCAAAAGGTTAGCTCCACAGGGAGTTCCTAGAGTGGTGATACCTGATGCAGTGTTTAATAGAGGAGCTGAAACCCATAAGGACTTTGTTTTAGGAGTTTTCACTGGAAAATCCCCTTCCTATAGCCACATCCAATCTGTTCTTTCTTCTGTGTGGGGAAGAGGCAGAAAGTTGGAAATTCACCTGAGAACAGAATCCCATACTATGCTTGTCAAAATTCCAAATGAAATCTTAAGGAAAAAGATAGTGGAACAAGAAATCTGGCACATAGGTTCCACCATGTTCTATGTGGTCCAATGGTCAGCCAATCTAGATCTGAAATATCCTACAATGAATGCCATACCTTTATGGGCTCATGTTAGAGGTGTCCCCTTCGATCTCTACACCCGAGAAGGCCTCAGCCTTGTCGCTGGTCTTGTAGGAGACCCTGTGGAATCAGATGAGTTCACTATAAGGATGACTAACTTGGATGTCGCTCATCTCAAGGTTAGAGCAAACTGTAATAAACCCTTACCTGCAGTGGTTGAGCTGGTGAGGGAAAATGGAGAAATCTTGCCGATTTCAGTTGAATACCCTTGGGTCCCTCCAACATGCCCCCGTTGCAATCAACTTGGTCACCTTCAAACTAAATGCCCAACTGCCCAGTGGATTCCAAAGAGAAACCCTGTTGAAAGCTCCACTGAAACTACAATCTGTGCTCATGATAGCCCTAACCCAGTTGTCCCTAACTCTCCCAACGTTGGCCCTTCAGTTACTGTTGATCTCACTAACCCCCCTTTCACCCATTACTCCCCTACCTTGCCACCTGACCAACAACTTTCTCCCCAACCTCCAGAAACTAGTTCTGAAATGACCATTTACCAGTTTGGGCCTGACCTACAACCTGGACCACCTGAAAAAATAACTCATGTGGTTGGATTGCGTGATGAAAGAAGGCCTCCATCCCAATACATCCATATCTCCCCCAAAAAATCCAAACCTCATAATCCTAAAATGCTTACCACAGTTCCTGATCTTGTGGTGGCTTCCATCCCTACTCCAACAAAAAACTTTTTTTCCTGCCTAGCTACTCTTAATCCGGACTCTCTTGGTCCTGTTACTCCTTTCAGTTCTTCCCAGTTAGTCTCCTCATCACTCCAAATAACCATTTCTCCTGTTAAAACCAGGGACTTGGGCAGCCACTCAAACACTGAACCTTCCTCTCCTTCTAATCCATTGCCTACCATACCAAATTCCACCTCTTTTACTCCCTCTATCTCAACCACAAATCTGTAAACAAACCCAGTCCAGTCTTTTGTTAATCTCTTGGATCAAATGTCTACCCCTACTACCCTTCTCATGGGTTCTTCTCTTGCAAAAGGGACGTCCTCAACCTGAACCTTTTTTATGTCGATAAAACTACTTTTTTGGAATGTCAGAGGCATCAATGACTATGCTAAGCATCAAGCTTTTTTGAACTGGCTACATGTAAATACTGTCGGATTCGGAGCTATTTTGGAAACCCACATAAAAGAAACCAACTTGAACCAAGTTATGTCGAGCCTGTGCCCTCAGTGGTCTTACCTCATTCTCATTTGGAAGTTCCCTATGGTCGTGTCCATCCTTCACAAAACAAAGCAGATGATCACTTGTAAAGTTTCAGGGCCTGGGACTCCACCCTTTTTGTCAACAGCAGTTTATGCATCTAATTTTCCAGCTGAAAGGGAGAAGTTATGGGATGACCTGATTCTTGTCAATCAAAGGTTTCGTACTGATTCTACTCCCTGGATCATTGCCAGAGACTTCAATGAAATCACCCACTTTGCAGAGCACTCTTCACCTACTCTCAATCACCTATCTGCTCAGATGATAAACTTCAAAACTTGTCTGGATGACATTGAAGTTAGAGATCTCAGATATCAGGGCCCACAGTTTACTTGGTCGAACAAGCAGCCTGTCAACCCTACTGCAAAAAAGTTAGACATAGCCCTTGTTAACGAGAAATGGGTTTTCACGTTTCCTCAGAGCAGTGCCCATTTCCATCCTCATGGGTTGCTTTCCGACCATGCTTCTTGCCTCATTGACTTGGCATGTCCTATCATTCCTGCTGGAACCAAACCCTTTAAATTCTTCAATTACCTAACCTCCCATCCTGATTTCCTCCTTACCTTAGCCAACTCCTGGGTTATATCTGAAACAGAGGATTGCTCTCTCANTTACTTGAGCCTAAAANAGAAAGAGATCAAAAGAGCCTTAAAGAGACTTAATAAAGACAATTTCTCAGAAATACAAAAGAGAGTTTGTGAGGCTAACGGTTTGCTTAAGATTGCGCAGGTTACAGCATTACAACATCCCACAGAGGCAAATTTCTTGGAGGAAAGGCTAGCCATACAAAAATTATCTATGCTTCAAGGGATTGAAGAAGCTTACTTCAAACAGAAAACAAGGATAAACTGGCTCAAGGTCGGGGATCAGAACACAAACTACTTTCACAGGGTTGCTCAGGCCAGAAACTTTTACAATGTTATCCTCTCACTTACTGACCTTAATGGTGTGGTAGCCATAACTCCTGCTGATGTTGCATCAATGGTTGTTTTCCATTTTCATTCAATTTTAGGGCCTGCCCCTTGCTCAAGGATACCTAACATAGAGGTAGAAATAGCCAAGTACACTGAATTCACCTGTTGACCAGAAAAATCGAGAGTTCTAGTTAGACACCAACCGCTGAAGAGATCCAGAAAACCATGTTCAAACTAAACCCCAACAAAAGCCCTGGACCGGATGGGCTAACTTCTGGTTTCTACAAGGCTGCATGGTCTGTTCTAGGATCAGAAGTTACTAATGCTATTACTAAGTTCTTCTCTTGCCCTTTCATGCCATCTGCAACAAATTCCACAATCCTGACTCTACTTCCTAAATTCCCTGGTGCTACAATC